AAACGGGAGGTACGGGATCTGATCGCTGTATGGGGAGATGAATCCGTGCTATCAGAACTCCATTCCAAAAGACGAAATGGCCAAACATTTGAAAAAATCTTCAAGGGCATGAAGGACAGAGGCTATAACAGGGACCTGCAGCAGTGCTGTGTGAAACTTAAGGAGCTGAGGCAAGCCTACTAAAAAACCAGAGGGGCAAACGGCCGCTCCGGTCAGAGCCCCAGACATGCCACGTCTATGATGAACTGCATGCCATTCTAGGAGGTGCAGCCACCACCACTCCAGCCCTGTGCTTTGACTCTGTCAATGGAGTAACACGCAACAGGGATGCAGGTTTTGGGGACGAGGAAGATAGCCCACAGCAAGCAAGTGGAGAAACCGTTTTTTCCCTGACAGCCAGGAACAGTTTCTCATCCTGGACCTGGAGTCAGTACCCCCCGAACCCACCCAAGGCTGCCTTCCCAGACCCGCCAGGCAGAGAAGGGACCTCTGGTAAGTGTACCTTTGTAAATATTATACATGGTTTAAAAGCAAGCGTGTTCAATAATTAATTTGCCCTGGCATTCGCGGCCAGTATAGCTACTGGAAGTCTGTTAACGTGTCTGGGATGGAGCGGAAATCCTCCAGGGACATCTCCATAAAGCTCTCCTGGATGTACTCCTAAAGCCTTTGCAAAAGGTTTCTGGGGAGGGCTGCCTTATTCCGTCCTCCATGGTGTAGGACACTTTACCACGCCAGGCCAGTAACACGTAGTCTGGAATCATTGCATAACACAGCATATGGTCCCGCTGTTTGCTGGCATTCAAACAACATCCGTTCTTTATCTCTGTTATTCTCAGGAGAGTGATATCTTTCATGGTCACCTGGTTGAAATAGGGTGATTTTATTAAGGGGACATTCAGAGGTGGCTGTTTGCCCGTGGCTGAACAGAAATGTTCCCCACTGTTAGCCACGTGGTGGGGGGAGGGGTGAAGCTATCATCCCAGAGAATTGGGTGTGTGTGGGGGAGGGGACGGGGGGGGAGGCTGGGTTAGTTGGATTTGTGCTGCACGTTAATCCGAAAACCGCAGCCCCTCCTTTTAAATTGCCAACCCATTTTAAATGGCCAACCCAATGGCTGCTTGGTATGGGAAATGAGGGTGCTGCTGTTTGAAACCATTCCCAAATGTTATGAAGGTTAAAGAAGCCAAAAGATTGTGTCTTCCCATGGCTGCCTGCAAGCCGAATTCTGTTGCCCGCCCTGCGTGAGTGATCTCTCACACTAAACTGGCATACCCTCAATAAGAGGCAAAATGCGACCTTGTACCGAAAGCACACGTGCAATGTAATGTTAACAGCAAGATTTACCGTGAAAGTCTACCCATTGTTCTCTAAAATGTCTTTTTAACTACCACTCTCCCTTTTGCAGCTGGTGGAGGGGGAAAAAAAATGTTTCAGCGCTCACACTATCTTCTCCTTCCCAGAGGCTAGCGAAGATTAGAAGGCGAAAAAAACGCATTCGCGATGAAATGTTATCTGAGCTCATGCAGTCCTCCCACACTGAAAGAGCCCAGCAGAATGTGTGAAGGCAGACAGGGTCAGAGACCAGGAAAGCCCAATATGAACACGAGGACAGGTGGCGGGTTGAAGATGATAGGTGGCGTTAGCTTGGTGACAGAAGGCAAGAGGCAATGCTGAGGCTACTGGAGGAACAAACTGGTATGCTCTAGCATATGGTTGAGGTTCAGGAAAGGCAGCATGAGCACAAACCGCCGCTACAGCCCCTGTGTAACCAACCGCCCTCCTCCCCAAGTTCCATAGCCTCATCACACAGACGCCCAAGAACGTGGTGGGGGGCCTATGGGCACCCAACCACTCCACCCCTGAGTACTGCCCAAGCAACAGAAAGCTGGCATTCAATAACTTTTAAAGTGCAGTGTGGCCTTGTCCTTCCCTCCTCCTCCACCCCTCCCGGGCTACCTTGGCAGTTATCCCCCTATTTGTGTGATTGAATTAATAAAGAATGCATGAATGTGAAGCAACAATGACTTTATTGCCTCTGCAAGTGGTGATCGAAGGTGGGAGGGGAGGGTGGTTAGCTTACAGGGAAGTAGAGTGAACCGGGGTGGGTGGGGAGTCATCAAGGAGAAACAAACAGAACTTTCACACTGTAGCTGGCCAGTCATGAAACTGGTTTTCAAAGTTTCGCATCGCACCACGCCCTCCTCTATTCTGCTAACTGCCCTGGTGTCTGGCTGCATGTAATCAGCGGCCAGGCAATTTTGCCTCAACCTCCCACCCCGCCATAAACGTCTTCACCCTTACTCTCAGATATTGTGGAGCGCACAGCAAGCAGTAATAACAATGGGAATATTGGTTTCACTGAGGTCTGTCCGAGTCAGTAAACTGCGCCAGCGTGCTTTTAAACGTCCAAATGCACATTCTACCACCATTCTGCACTTGCTCAGCCTATAGTTGAACAGCTCCTGACTACTGTCCAGGCTGTCTGTGTATGGCTTCATGAGCCATAGCATTAAGGGGTAGGCTGGTTCCCAAGGATAATGATAGGCATTTCAACATCCCCAACAGTTAGTTTCTGGTCTGGGGAGAAAGTCCCTTGCTACAGCTTTTGAAACAGACCAGAGTTCCTGAAGATGTGAGCGTCATGTACCTTTCCCAGCCATCCCACATTGATGTTGTGGTCCACCAGTGCTTGCAGCACCATTGAAAAGTACCCCTTTCGGTTTATGTACTCACTGCTTCGTTGCTCTGGTGCCAAGATAGGGATATGGGTTTCGTCTATCGCCCCACCACAATTAAGGAATCCCATTGCAGCAAAGCCATCCACTATGACCTGCACAGACTCACTACCCTTGATATCAGCAGCTCTTTGATTGCGTTGCCTACTGGGATCACAGCAGCCCCCACAGTAGATTTGCCTACTCCAAATTTGTGCCCAACTGACCGGTAGCTGTCTGGCGCTGGAAGCTTGCACAGGGCTATCGCCACTCGCTTGTGAACTGTGAGGGCTGCTCTCCTCTTGGTATTCTTGCTCTTCAGGGCAGGGGAAAGCAAGTCAAAAAGTTCCATGAAAGTGCCCATACACGTGCAAAAGTTTCGCAGCCACTGGGAATCGTTCCAGACATGCAACACTATGCCGTCCCACCAGTCTGCTTGTTTCCCGGGCCCAGAGTCAGCGTTCCATGGCATGAACCTGCCCTATTAACATCATGATGTCCACATTGCCGGGGCCCGTACTTTGAGAGAAGTCTGGGTCCATGTCCTCATCACTCTCGTCACCATGCTGCCATCGCCTCCTCGCCTGGTTTTGCTTTTGCAGGTTCTACATATACTGCAGGAAAATGTGCGTGGTGTTTACAGTGCTCATAATTGCCACGGTGATCTGAGCGGGCTCCATGCTTGCCATGCTATGGTGTCTGCGCTGGAAAAAGGTGTGAAACTATTGTCTGCCATTGCTCTGATGGAGGGAAGGGTGACTGATGACATGGGTTACAGGGAATTAAAATCAACAAAGGGGGATGCAAACTGTGGGTTTGCATCAAGGAGAAACACACACAACTGTCGCACAGAATGGCCCCCTCAAGGATTGAACTCGAAACCCTGCGTTTAGCAGGCCAGTGTTCAAACCACTGAGCTATCCCTCCCCCCACTATTCACAGAGGGAGGGAGCGGGGAGCAAATGAATACAAATAAATACAAAACAAATCTGGTCTTTCTTGTTTTGATCCCCTCCATCTCTCTTATGAATCTTAGGCTGGCAGCAGACAGTGCCACACGACTGCTAGCCATCGTCGTCTCCTGGCTGCTCGCCAGAAGATGGTGCAGTACGACTTCAGGCAACACTGAATCTCCATGATACAAAACTTAAAAAGAGAATGACCTGGAGTCACTCCCATTTATGTCCAGGCGCCGCTGACCAACCTCACCGAGGTCGACTAAAAGAGCACCCAGGAGACAATGATGATGACTACCAGTTGTAATGCACCATCTGCTGCCAAAAGGCAATGAGCTGCTGCTGTGTAGCAATGCAGTACCACGTCTGTCATCACGCAGGAGATGTACGGTGAGGGTGAGCTGAGCGGACTCCATGCTTGCCATGGTATGGCATCTGCAGGGGTAAGGCAGAAAAAAAGGCTCAAAACACTTGTCTGCCGTTGCTTTCACGGAGGGATGGAGGAAGGGGGGGCCTGATGACATTTACCCAGAACCACCCGCGACAATGTTTTTGACCCATCAGGCATTGGGATCTCAACCCAGAATTCCAATTGGCAGCGGAGACTGTGGGAACTGTGGGATAGCTATCGCAGTGCAACGCTCTGGAAGTCGACGCTAGCCTCGGTACAGTGGATGCATTCTGCCGAGTTAATAGTCTTAAGTGGGGGGACACACAATCGACTGTATAAAATCGATTTCTAAAAAATCAACTTCTATAAATTTGACCTAATTTCGTAGCGTAGACATACCCTTAAAAACTTTTTTAAGAGCTGAGCTAATGAAGTAATCTCGTGACCCTAGGTGATGGAGGGGATGCTAAGACAAGGAAGTGAGGTAGCCTTTGAAAACTGGGTAAATTCTGCTGACTAATGCTGCTTTGGAATTTAAGACCACCATTATTTGACTAATACTTACTGATTAAGCTTTATCCTTTAGCCAATAAAATCTTTGGTTACAGCCAGATAATGAGAAGCTGTGCCAAAATTTGTTACTTATTTGGTAAGATATTTTCTAGCCTTTCTACAAATCTTGACAAGCTATGCGTCGTTCGGGCTACATCATTAAATTTAACAGAACCTTTGTTTTAGCTGCTATTTTATGTTTCAGCACCTGTTTAGAATGCATGCTAACTTTAAATATAAAAACAAGTAATGAGAAGAGAACTTGAATATTAATAATGGTATCAATATAAGAAGCTTATATGCAGCCTGATTTTTAGTGTTCAAATGTGCTTCAGCCTTCAGAATCTAGTGGTTTAACATTACATTATTTTTAATTCCAAATAGGTGCCATACTAGGCAGATCGGAAACACAGGAGTGCATCTACTATAATGCTAATTGGGAAAAGGATAAAACAAATCGCAGTGGCATTGAACCTTGTTATGGCGATAAAGATAAAAGACGACACTGTTTTGCTACATGGAAGAATATTTCTGGATCAATTGATATTGTGAAACAAGGTTGTTGGCTGGATGATATCAACTGTTATGATAGGTGAGAAAATTTTAACTATCTTATGTATAATAATGTTTTAAACCAAGTTTACCAGAAACAAGGCTAGTTAGGAGACACATTACAAGATACCAAACAATACATTGTTCACTATATTAGAAGCCAGTATTTTTGAATTTAGGTGCCTACAGTCCCCACTTAAATTTGTTAACAAAGCTTTTATTGTAGTTAAATATTTTATCTGGCATGTTGGAAGAATGGAGGGTGCCAGTAAGTAAAACAAAAACCTAAGAGGTTAACTAAGAGGGAGGGAGTTTGGGTGTGGGGATTAGGGCACAGGGTATGGCCTCTGGGAGGGAGTTTGGGTGCAGGAGGGGGCTCGAGGCAGGGGGTTGGGGTGCAGAGTGCAGGATTTAGGCAGCGCTTACCTGGGGTGGCTCCCCACAAGCGGTGACCTGTCCCTGTTGCTTCTAGGCAGAGGCACAGCCAGGTGGCTCTGTGCACTGTCCCCACCCTGAGCGCTGGCTCCGGGAACCACAGCCAATGGGAGCTGCAGGGTTGGCGCCTGAAAGGGAGGAGTGCGCAGAGCAGCCTAGCCACGCCTCCACCCACAGGCACTGAGGCCAGTGGCAGCTTCCGTGTGCTCATAATTTCTGAAAATCCTGGCCTTTTTTTGTGTAACTGATGACCAGTCAAATATGGTAAGCAATAACACACACAACAGGGTTGTATTGGGATATCAGTACGCATTGGTTGGGTCCTAGGCTGAATGCTAAAGATTACAACCATCTAATTGATCACTGTATGGTACTCTGAAGAATTCTTTTGGAACTACAAAATGTCTTTATACCACTGTTGGGAGAGGGAGGAGAAGGAAGAAAAGAATGCATTAAATTTATAGTATTGTCTTCGCATTACTAAAATGTTTCCAAAAAGCTTGAACAAAACTTAATAAAAAACCTAAATCTTACAAATCTTCATATCTTTAAAAAAAAAAAATCAACTTGTATCAGTGGAAGAAAGTGATATTCATTATAGTCCTCTTTACCTCATAAAGAGGTTTTATAGCTTTAAGTTAATCAGTAAAAAGCAGTTTTAGGAAAAATTGTAATTCTGATTTGCAAGTTCCAACTTGAGGTTTAATGTTATTACTATCAAACTTTAAAACTTTGAGGGATTTTCTACAGTGCTTATTGTTGGTCTAATTCTCACTGGAAATCCATGAGAATTTTGGCACTAATTACAAATGAGAGCAGACCCAGGAATTTTCGAGAGTGCTTGGAACTGCCTCACTCAAAGCTTCCTACGAAGATGAAAAAAGATTTGGAAGAAGTGAAAGGGTGTGGGAGCAGTGAAAAGTTGAAGAGGAGGAGGAGGAGTAAGACTTTTTGTGAGTAGACAAAATTGCACTAGCATAGTTAAACTGGGACAACCCCAGGTGGATAATCTTATCTCGGTGTAAGAGTGGCTTGTTCTTTTAAGACAGGTTCAAATTGCCCCATGTGAACATTCAGTTTTTGTACCAGTTAGTCTATTTTAGACCAGATGAGTCAAACTTAAGGGCCTGTCTAAACATGGAGTTATTCAGGAATAGTTGTTGCACTTCAAATTCATACTCTACCTTGATCCAAATTAACTTTCAAGTGTAGACAAGCCCTAAGTTACATGGAATTGCACCAGTTATGTTGATTAAACCCTAAATTTTCTAGAGAAAATAAAGGGAACTAAGGAAGTAGGATAGAATGCTAATCTTTTCTTTGTAGCATACTATACACAGCATTTAGGGAACAAAAATATTAAGATGTTAAAACTTTATAAATATTAAAAGACTTCACTCTGGTTCTTAAATAACCATTGCTTTTGGTAATCAATATTATCTAGTGCATTTCAGTAAACAATTCTTTTTTGTCTTTGTGCCAGGACATCACTGTTTTATTTATTATCGGAATACAAGATTTCTGAATAGTGTTCTAATTAGAAACATTGTAATATCTGTTGTTTATAACTTTGTTAGCTGGTGAAGGACTATTGCAGTTCACTGAACTTTTAAGCTTATGGTATACCAAACACCAAATAGTGCCAGACAAAGAATATCAAGCAATGAATACATTATGGCAGAAACAGTTGCAATTATAATAAGCAAGTCTTCAATTTGTATATAAAACAGCAGCCTTCGGCCATTTCTCCAACAGATTCAAACTCTTCCTAGAATTCTTCACTGTTTTTTGTTGTCTTACCTTCCCACTCCTGAGTTCTTAGGGGTTTCTTTGGTGGTTTTTCCTCACCAATTTATGGCATGTCTTTTCATGCATCATAGTTCTAGATTTTTACTGCAATGAGCTCTGGCTCTGGGCAAAGTTAATGTTTGGCTGCACAGAAATTTCCTGTATTCTTCCTTTTAAAAGGTGTTTCCCCCACAACAGCCTCACACTGAAGGATTCATGGATAAACTCAAGTCATTCAAAGTACTCATTTTATTTATTATGCCACATTTAAATTGGGTTCATGAATTGTTAAAATCTCCACCTATACTGCCCCCTCCCCCTGCAAGAGGAATTTTTGAATCCCAGCTTGCTGGTGTCTTTTTTGGGATGCTAGCATGTTTGCAACTTGCAAGGTTAAGAAGACTATCTCTGCATCAAGGTTGATCGATGTTATATTTCAGCAAATGGAAGTAGACCTGTATTGAAATATATTTTCTCCTCAATTTAGCATGGTATTCTGATAACACCATCTTAGTCTGGTGCATCACAATTTTCAAAAGTTCATTTCCAAGGTTAACTTCGTAGCTAATATATGCAATTATTTGCTCTTGTACAAAGGAAGTCAGTTTTAAATTAACAAAAATGACTTTTCTGGTGCTTTCTTACAGGACTGATTGTATAGAAAAGAAAGACAGCCCTGACGTGTTCTTCTGTTGCTGTGAAGGCAACATGTGTAATGAACGTTTTTTCTATTTTCCAGAGATGGAAGTAACACAGCGTAAGTTGGTTTAACATTCTAAAGAAATGGTTCTGCAGTATTGGCCAGAATACAGTTTCTGTATGTTTAGGAGAGAAGACTTTTTTTTCCAGAATATTCTGGATAGCTTCTGTTAGTTTCCCCTTTTCCAAACATATATGTGGAAGTGGTTTTTTGGTAACTATAGTGGTTTAGAGTTGGTTGTATTAGTCTATTGCCCAGATCAAATTATTTACACTAACTTTTTTTTTCCAGCTTGAAATGAAAGGTCCATATTGTGGAACAAAACCATTCAAATTGCTAAAGCTATTCTAAGCTAGTAGGGGGCGTCTATCCTTGGCAACCTGTTCAGAAAAATCTGACCAGGAGGGCTAAATAGAATTAATTCATACTCTTTTGAAAATCTAAACAAAAATCCATTATTTTAAATCTCATCTTAGATGTAAGTAAATGCAACTGGTTGTGTTCGAACTGGCCATAATGCCATAGCACACCAACCTGTGCATGTACTGCTTTACAGATGCATGCCCTGGAGTAGGTATTTACTTTCTTGTAAAATGGTCTGTTTAACTTTGTAACTTATTAAATGAACTCATTATCATTGCTGGGCACACATGTAATTTAAAAAACAAACAAACACAAACAAACTGAAAGTCTGCTAAAAAGAACACACAAAAGTCTACTAAGAAAACTGCCTGGAAAGCCATTGAGCGCGCAAAAAAAAAAAAAAAATACCAGTGCATGATGTTTTTAAGTAATAACTTTAAAAATTTGCCAGGCTATTTTTCCATGCCTTCCAACTAAGGCGCTTAACTTGTTAAACACTAGTAGGTCTCCCTAACGATAAATATCGATTTGAAAAGTATGGTATATAAATAAATAAATTTACAACTCCCCGACCCTCCCCACCCCACACACCCTGCAAAAGCATCCATTAAAAGGGTGAGATGATCTGCATTCATCTATGTGAACAGTAGTGCTGCTTTATGGGTTATCCATAGAGTGAGTGGGTGTATAAGTAATTACTTTAAAAAAATTTATTTATATTAATTTTGTTCTCTTAAATATTTCAAATTAAGTTTGAAATTATGACAATGTTAGATGAAACTTAATATCTATTCATTTAAATGATTCCTCTCTCAATTGGTGGTTTGGATGTGTGGTTTCTTTTGAGGGGTTGGGGACGGGGAGTTAGTTCTCTTCCAGGTCCTAAAACAGTACGACCTCCTGATCACAGCAATAAAGCAGGATATCCAGCCAAAAAATTAATTGACCTATCACTTTGGTACTGACACTAGGGACTCATTGCACTCTTCCCCCGTCTCCCAAGTACAAAATATAGTAGAGATGCTCTACAAACTCCCCAAACCCATGTCATCCATGTATGCCTCTGAAAACAAAAGACTTCATCTTGAAGTTACTAGTAAATCCTGGGATAAAGAGCTAGAGCATCGTTTAAAGGCATTACAGTGGTCCATTTTATTACACAATGCAAAATGTGCTTCTGTAGATTTACGCTTATGTTTAATTCAAGAAAAAAATTATTTAGAATGAATTTGGTATGGAAAAGACTACAGAAGATTATTTTTCCCTTTGGATACATGCTGGCACTATGGTAAAAATAGGCTATAGTAATGTCCCCTTTCTATAGAAATAGGTAGACATTAGAATTAAAATTATTTTTGGATTTAACAATCAAACATAGTTTGAGAATTGCATATTAGAATATTTTGCTGCAAATTTTGGTCTCATTGGCACGGCATTCGTGGTACTTGAGAGGAATCATGATTACAAAGCGAATGATTTTACAGAGGTGGTAAAGTAAATCCATGTGCTCAGTAGGATAATGGTATTCAGACCTACCAGCCAAAGAGAGTCACTTTCAGCCACCCGGATCAGTGATGTGAATTTGAGGAAATCTTTTTGCTCTGTTAAAAGAAACATTTAACTAGGGAATGTCTAAAGGTCCAACAGCCTGTCCAAGCCTCCTTCCCCTGGCCTTTTTGGCTCTGCTTCCATGCTGCCTGACCCTATCTAGTCTGCATTGTTCTTCCCCATGACTTTGAAAGTATTGATTTCTTTGGTTTTATAGTTTAAGGTGAAGGTTTTTTTGCAAATTCATGTTAGCACTATGCTGCATGTTACAGAAGGTAATTATACATTTTATAATTTGTTTTCATGTATTGTGATGTTTGTATGAAAAAGCAAAATCAATAAATACTTTTGTAAAAAGATAATGCAAATTAGATAATAAAATATTAAGCAGTACATGTTTTGCTGAGGAAGTTTTAAAGAAGGTCAAACAATTGAACTTGTGGAAGTCGCTTGCTTTTCCACACCGCTTACTTAAATTACACCAAAGGAAGTGCTAGGGTGTACAAGCTTTCAGTGACCAGAAACAGTCAGTTCATTTCGCTTACTACAGATAATTCCTTGTATAATAAAGTAGTTGGCTTTTAAATGCAAAGCATGTTAAACTTTTTTTTTCTTAAATATCCAGCATATTGAAGCAACAGAGGGTCCTGTGGCACCTTTGAGACTAACAGAAGTACTGGGAGCATAAGCTTTCGTGGGTAAGAACCTCACTTCTTGCATCTGAAGAAGTGAGGTTCTTACCCACG